AATTTCCTGTTGTATAAAAAAGAAAGAAAGAAATATTCTCTCCTCTTTTAATTTCTTATCTAAACCTCAGTATAAAGGGAGTATACTGGAAGATTATTTATTTGAAATATGATACCATCAGTATCCCATGTGCAAGAGAGGGTATGTAAACATTTGCATAATCTTTCTAACTTTGAAGGGGAAAAAGAAGTTTATTACATGTGTCAAAACTCGTTCAATCAAATAACTGTTGTACATAATATGTAGCCAGCATATAGTAGTTATTGGCAGATTTGGGCTTTAGAGTACTCATTTTCTAATATATTTTTATTTTGATTTTTCTAATAAATATACCAGCCTGTATTTTCCTAAAACTCAATTGTCCGTGTATCTTCTAAGACATATTTAACGTGTTTGATACATCCAAAGTTTAGTAAACAATTCAGATTAATTTTGCTTGTTTTTATTACTCTAAAAAGTAGAAAAGTATTTGATTTCATTACTCCAGAAACAAAATGACAAAACTTGTAGAGACAAAACAGTTTAATGATTCCATGGAATTTACAGATTTTAAAAAATAATTTCCATAAATTTCTAGAAATCCTTATTAAGAAAACTATTTTTTACCAAAAACCAGATCAGTTATATTTTGTTGTGTAATTACTGTTCAATTTTTTATTTTCCTTACCTTCTTTGCCTGGCTATCTGTTTTAATTATAGTTTTTCTCAAAAGTTTTATTTTTCATCTTCTAAAGAAACTGTTGTATCTATAATAAATATACTGACCAGGGGGTCTGAAACCAATTAACTGCTCTACTTAAGGTAATCCAGCTTAGTATTTGCAGCTGAAACAACAATAGAAATGATATTATGATAAAATGAAATATAAATGGATAGATTATATGACTCTACATAATTATATTCTTTTTTCATGGTTTCTTATGAGAATAGAGCACAGCAAGTCTATATTTAATTAGGCTAAAATCTAGTATAACCTGGTGGGTTACATGTGCATTAATTGAATCAAATATCACTCTAAATATTTTTATGAACTTGTTTTAATGCTAAGATTTTGGTTATGCCTCAAATATATTCAGTGCTTATTATGTACCAGCAAACACCTCAGTCTTGACACTTCATTATTGACAGGATAAAGCACAGTTTCCAGATATGTTGCAGCATGTCTACAGAAAAGACACATATTAATCTTAAATTTCAGCTTTATCAAGGTTGGCTACCCACAGTGTGGATTCACTAGTTCATTTTCACATTCTCAATTTATTATTCTTATGAGGACTCAATTCAATATTATTTCTTCTTTCTAGAATTCTAATGCCATACAATTTATATTTATACATATATCTATATTGTATCTGTGATAGTTAAATATAAGAGGAAATTTATATTTAAATATGTATTATAGATTTAGGTGAGGCTTTCATATAAATTACATGAAACTTTTCTGACTACCTACTATGTCCCATATAAAGGAGGCAAAGTGATGAATTCATGGTCCACACTCTCCATCTAATACACTGTTGAAGACACAAGTAAAGCTAGATCCTCTGATTAAGTGGGGGCTTAATTCTATCCTTACTCTCCTTGGGCAAGGGCTTTCTATAAAAAGAGACAGTGAAACTTTTGAAAATCCTGATCTTTGCTGTGCAGTGCACAAAGGCCATAATTACATGCAAATGTTCTTTTTATTTTTTCTCCTTCTTTTTCTTCCTTTTGATTTAAACCATTAAATCGGGACCCACACAACTCATGGAGATCACGCTAACACTGGAGCTCAGTTCTCCTGATCCTCCTTGATGGTTATCTTCATAAAATAGTGCAATCTCTTTACCAAACATCTTAATCATTCAATTGCTTATATTGTCAAATATTGTTCCAAAAATTTGAATCCAGAACATCTCACTTTAGTATTCATTCCATTCATTATTTTTATTTATAAGGTACTCCACAAAAAATTGAGAGGATTGTTAGAAGTGAGAAGTTGTACCAGGTAATTTCTTGCATGCATTCGAGACCCAGTGACATAGATTGAAAATCTGGCATCAGTTTTGCACATCTTTTAGAGTTTCACATATTATATATGTTAGATACATTTAACCAATGACCTTATATCAGTGGAAGAATGAAGGGCTCCTTCACTCAGTGAGGATGAAGGCGAATCTCTGCATTGGAATGCATTGCTAGAGTTCAGTCTACTTTAGTAACAGCAGTTACAGTAGTAGTTTCTAATCAAATGAGTGTATCATCTCTTTCACAGAAAGGTAAAGAAGCAGCTGCCAAAGACCCTTACAAATTTTTATTTTATGCTTTAGCTTCAATTACAATTGATTCTAAACTGTGAAAAAATAATTTTATGCTTGATCATAAAGAGTATTTGTGACTTTGTAATAAAGGAAAGCCAACTGAAGAAAACACTCAATCAGTTGTAAAATCTATTCTCATGGCTTGTCTATGCATGATAATTTTCTTTTAAGATATTCTTTCAATTTGTCTCTTGAGAAAAGTAGCTTCTTCCTTAGAATGTGGTCAGTATATGAAGTATAGATACTTCTGATTGCTGGGTTAGCACATATATTTAAAATGTATTTCCACTCAACATTTATTTGATGGTCATGATGCTATAGCCATTGAATATCTAATTTTGACATATCAAGGGCCATTTTTTTTAAAGACACTGTGATCGAGTCAACTATGACATTTCCTCTCAGTGGTGAGTCACACTTTGTGCCTTTCCAAACAGTCTGGCAGGGTTTTCCCAGTATTATTTTTATCAAAATAAAATCAATGGCATATTGTTATTACCAAACTTTTCTCTAGTCCTGAACAGCTACATATTCTAAGAAGATATCATACAATTAATTGATGGAAGTGTATGACATAGATGATCTCTCTGTTCAGTCTCCTAATTAAATCTAATTAAGTATTCTCCTTCCTTTTACAATAACTGCTGTGTTGTAATATGAGTATATGGACTGCTTCTGTGATTTCACTTATTCCATCATAGAAGATAGATATCAGCAGCCATATAATACAGGATGCTCCAAAGTTAAGCTGAGCATGTTATAGTGAGATACTACAGGCTTGGAACTGTAGACCTTTTGAGACTGTCTTTAGAAGAATCCAGTTGATTTTCTAACACACCGCCTCTTTAAGAAATGCAACCCCATTAAATCCTTTTCCAGAAGTCAAGTCGATTCTGCCCTATAGCAGAAGTCTCTATGAACTTGACAAATACAGAGATCTTGAGTTCAAAGGAGAACCCTACTAAATCTTTTCAAAAAACTTTTCCACAAATATTTCCATTCTGGACGTCACCATGTGAGAAGCCTGAATTTAATTAACTATTTCGTTGTTAGTACAAAAAGCAGTTAGTTCCTCAGCCCAGCTTTCAGCTGTGTGTGCTAGAGACACGGGGCTCCTCACTCTTCCATGCATCCCTATGACAGTTTGTGCAGCTGTGGAAGTTTCCTTTGGGAAGTATTCCTTTATGGGTATTTCAGACATTTTTTTTTTCTGCTGTAGACTTTAAGGCTCAGTTCTTTATAATTAAAAGCTCCAGAAAATTTTGTAAATTTTAAGTGAATGCTACCTGTAAGGCTGCAAGTATATTTATTTGAATCTCTGCCTGAAACATTTTATAGAAAACAAATTTGCCATAAGCAACATCCCTAATTTGTATTCCCTTCATAATGAAAGCAAACATTTTAAATACCTTAAAGTGTAGTCTTGGAAGAAAAGAGATTACAAAAAACATTAATGTCCCTTTTAAAAAAGTTGAGTAAACAGCATATGCAATTATTTTGCAGGGAAAGTCTGCTAATTAAAACCAAAACCATTCTGTTAGTATACACACCTGCTACTGCACAGTCTGTGTCTTACAGAGGAACTTAATTCTGGAACAGAGATGAATTTTCAGTTAATCTCCTGGAGGAATGTCCACTTTAGGATCCTACTTTAGTCTTGCCCATGTTAATTACTGATTTTTTTCACAGTAATCTTTCACATGGTACAAAAATGAAAGCTTAATTTTATTAAGATAGTTGTTACTGCAGACTTTACATCCTGAGTGGAAGAGAAATAAAAGTCAACCTCTTCTCAAAGTATTCAGATTCTGTTGTCAGGTCACAGAATTTTTTCAAAGACCTCAAAGCAGAGACAATATTTTCATCAATATAGGAGGAGAAGTCAAACATGCCTTTTCTTTCTTTCTTAAGCAATGTTCTGGCATTTTATTCAAAAACATTTTAAAGGTCACTTTTTTTTTGAAATCTTTACCATGTTAAATGAGGTTATTTTCCCACATATTAAAAATATTTTGTCTTATCTTACCCGTGTTCAAAAGAGTAATGTATGCTGTAGCTTAATATAAAAACGGCAATAATAACAACAAAAATAGCAAAAGATTTAAAATACATAGAACATTTATTCCATACCAAGAACTATGCAAAATAATTTGCTGTCTGCATGCATATGCATTTTTAAAATTTTGTTTGTTTTTGTTGATATAATTATACTTTATTTTATTCATATAAATGTCAAAATCTCACAAGGACATTTTTCAACTTATAGCTAATCCCTAGCATCCATGCTAGTAATTATATATTCCCTTTCATAGTATATAACTAGAACACATATTGGATATTTTATTATATAGTAAACTATAAAGAAAATTTAAAAATACCCAAAATTTACTGCCTATATATCCCTTACTCACTTAACCAATAATACCATATTATGTGGTTAGAAAACTCAAACAGTATAAAAAAAATACAAAATGAAAAGTGGGAGACTCTCTTCCTAGTCTTAATGTTAGGTAATCAAATATTTGGGATTCTTCCAATATTAAATACAGACAAGGTGGGGGAAAAGTACATTTACAGTTGGTCATATGGGAAATAATACAGTAATTTGTAAATAATAATTTAAAGAGAAACTGTGTTTTACATACTTATAACTATAAACCTACCCCCCCATATATGTATATACTAAATGACTTAATAAGTGTCCTTACCTGGCAGGGGAGCTACCATGATGGTGGTTTTCCGAGGGTGAGGCTTATCCATTGAACTCCGGATGTCCTGAACCCTTTGATTTCCACAAATGTGGGAAACTGAACTGTATAATTTGTGGTAGTAGGGGACTGTGTTTGTGCTCTCCCCTGGCAAAAAATAGTAAAAGTAAAAGTAAAAATAAATAATAAAATGCTAAATAAATAAATAATATATATGTACATACAAGTGTGTGTGTGAGTACTTACCTCTTTTCAAATCAGTAAATTAAAAAATCCATGTTGTGTATATGACTGTATAATATTATATAATTTTCATGGAGTATTATTTAGTTAAATAGTTACTTATCAATGGGCTTTTTGTTTACAGTTTTTTTAATAATATGTATTCATTTATTTATATAAATTTTTATTGTTGTTCAAGTATAGTTGTTTCCATTTCCCCGCCACCACTCCTCCCAACCCCACCCATCCCCACCTCCTACCCTTGATCCTACCCCCCTTTGGCTTTGTCCATGGCTCCTTTATACATGTTCCTTGACAATCATCCACTTTTTTCCCATTATCCCCCTACCCCTCCATTCTGATTACTGTCAGTTTGTTCTTTATTTCAATGTCTCTGGTTATATTTTGCTTGCTTATTTGTCTTATTGATTAGGTTTCACTTATAGGTGAGATCATATGGTATTTTATGATAAAAAAAACCTGGAGATATACCATGCCATATAGTTCCAGGTTTTTATCATAAAATTGTGATAATGGCCACATATGTGAATGACTGTGCAGAGGTACCATTGTAATTCTCTTTGAACAGAGGAGGAAAGGAAGGCACAGAACATTCAGGTAGGTTGCCTAGGACCACTCACTTGTCAGTGGAGTGAAAATTCAAATTCAGGCAGTCTTAGTGCAGATTCTAGGCTCCTCCACTATGTATCTCTAGTAGGCAAAGATGGCTCCACTGGTAACTTCGTTGCCCGGTATTTCAAGATGTGTAATAAACATTTGTTTACAACTCAGTATCTGTCATATAGCTTTTTTCTATTAAGAATAAAAATAATGGATTCCTGTAATTTTATGATGACACATGATACTCCAGAATCAAGATACTTTTATTAGCAGAAACATTAATGAGTTTTAGAAAATCTAAATATGAGTCTAAACCTGAGAATGTAGAATTTAACGGTATTTTAAAATGATACTGGAGGAATTGATCTTGAGGGAGGAAAGATTCAAGGAAAGAGGGGGGCAAACAATATGGAGAAATGTAAGCAGTAAGCTATTTCTAACAGTTCATAGTGGGATAGCAGGAAAGCTTTGTGAAGAGGTGTGTCATTTTCATTTTACATTTTCTCGTTTGGCACTGTGTGTGTGCATGACTAATATGTCCTGGAAAAGAGGTTGAATTCCATGAGTGGGTTGGCAAGGAGTAGAAGAATATAGACAATTACAGGAAACGTGTGTGATACAGTGAAATAAGAATTGGACCATTCAAGATACTTGGTGTTACAAGGGAAAATAAAAATAATCCCTTTCCCTCCTACCAGAGGTTAGAGCTTGAAGAAACCTTATGGACAATGTTAGATTTCCTCCAGGACCTGAGACAGAATGCTTGAAACTTTATTTCATTGTCTACAAGCAAGTTGGCCTCTTTTGACATCAGAAATGATTTAAGGAGAAGTCTAAGAAACAGGGATGAAAAGAGACTCAAAAAGGAGGAGAATTTGGAAAAAAAAACATAGAACAGAGCAAGATGTCAGCTAAGTGCTTCCCACTTCACTTTCCCTTATTAAGACTCTTACATAGTTTTAGAACTCTGAAAAACCTGAAAAAAGGTACAAAACACTCCTGGATAATCCCAATCCAGATTCCCCAAATGTTAAGATTTAAGTACAGCTTTTACTACAGATGCTTACTCATCCCTCTTTCTCTGTCACTTGCATATCTATCTACCTCTCCATCCATCCATTTGTATGTATTTATTTATATATTTCTATACAGTAATATGTTTTTCTGAACTGTTGAAGAGTAATTCACAGATAAGATACTCCTTTACACAAGCCACTCATCCCCAATAAAATTTAAGTGTGTATTTCATAAAAATAAAAAATTACTTCACATAATCACAGTACAATGACTAAATTAGGAGCTTAACATTGATTCAATACCATTATCTAATCCTGGGGGTATCACACATTCTATTAAGGGTCAGGTGGTAATTGTTTTAGGCTTTGCAGACCACACTGTCTTTGTTGAAACTACTCAACTCTACTGTTGTAGGTCAAAAGTAGCCAGAGGGATCATGTCAGTGAAAGGGCATGGCTATGTTAAGTATAAAGTCGCTTTCAAAAACAGACGGCAGGATGACTTGGCTCATGGGTCATAGTCTGGTTTCTAATCTAATATACAAACCTTATTCAAATGTTCCTAATTGTCTGTAGAATATCACTCACAAGAAAATGTCAATTATGAAACAATAGTTTATCTTTGTGAGCCCCAGACTTGGAATCAGTCATTTCTCCAAAGAAGCCTTTGTTCCTTTTAAAGGAGGATGGTATCTAGCAATCAAGATTTGTAAGCAATAAGCTACTGCTGGTATTGCTGGTAAGTTATTACAGTTACTGCTGTTGGTTTTCATTGCTTCCAGTCTTTCAGTGGGCAGCGCAGGGAAATAAAACACATACGTACATATGCATATATCCACATACACACACATATGGATATGTATCTTCACACATCTGTACTTATTTATATATTCAAATATATTTACACATGCCACCATGAGTTTACACTGACACCTTTAATACCATTCCAACAGGGCAGGACCCTTCCTTCCTCTCTCTCTCTCTCCACCCCTCCCTCCCTCCCTCCCTCCCTTCCTTCTCCTTTTCATATCTGTAATTCTCTGATAGGAGAAACCTGGCCCACATTATCCATCATATATTTACTTATTTGCTCAGTCCTGGAATATATAAAACTAATTTTGGGATGACTGTGTCTAAAATTCTGGGAAGCAGAATTGGCTTGTGGGAGAAGCTCTGAGAGAGAAATAGGACATGGGCATCGTAGAAACAGATCAAAGCTCTTGAGGTGACTGGGCTCAGCTCCTAAACTGTAAACAACGTCTGAGCAGAGAAACAAGAGATGGAGAAATCACTGTCTTCAGTCCTGCTTGTGCTTATATAAGCAACATCAGCAGCAGAGATTTACAGACACAAAATACTGTACACAAAATCACATATGAACTCAAATCCTCAGCAGAAATTGAGCACTAGCCTTCAGAGAACACAATAGCAGCTTGTGTAAATTTCTGCCAATTAAACAGGCAAAAAATATAAAAGTTGTTGAGTTGATTTGAATGAATGTTGTGCTTTTTTTTGTAAAGAAAATAATTTGAGCAGTATGAAAAGCAGTCTTAAAGGTGGGGGGAGTCTGTCATCTCTTCACCAAGAAAATGAACAGAATTATGTTTACATGGGCTCTCATTTGGCAGTGGTGTATCAACTCAATACAAGCCTGCTCCCAGCTGTTAAAAATCTGTTACATGCTTCCCCATTTTACCACATTTCATTCTTAGTTCAGATAAGAAAAATGTGAAAATGCATAAGCTCAAATGTTCTCTCTGTTTTGGCAACACCACGATGAAGTTGCTGCTTGTTCTGGCAACTGCACATTTCTAAGAAGTATCTCTCCATATGCAGAATTTCTTAATATGATGTTTGTTCCTTTTCAAGTCCAAGATATGTGCTGTGAAACCCTAAGTATTCATTTTTAAACACTTAACATTTTTTTCAAATCCTCTATTCTATAATTTTTCTTGACAGACATTCTTATAACATAATACACCAACAGCATTGCTTGTCCCATACTTTCTCATTTATAAACATGTATTATTTATTCAGCATATAATGCCTGTATTTTATTTAATTAATCATTTTAAAATCCCAGGCATAGTTGCTTTTATTATTTGTATTTGGCAGATGTGGAAATTGAGGATCAGAGATATTCAGTAGCTACCTCATGACAGAGCTTAAAGGTGGTAGAACTAAAGTTGCAGTGTGACAATATTGCCCACACTTTATAGCTATATAGATTTGTCTCTCACCATCCTTCTAATAATGATGTTGATTGTGACAGCACAATATTGGGATGAAAAAATTTGTATGCCTCATTCTCTTTGTTGCCCTTAAAAAGTTAAGTAACAGTTTCATTGAAGAAGTGGAAATGGAATTCTCTGTATGATGCTATTCATTATTTTAAGACCAGGTTTAGAAAATTACCAAATGTAAATTTTTCTGTACATTCCACTTTGAAAATATTGTCCATTTTATAAAACCTTGCAGTTATTGCATTCATAGTCCACATTAAGCAGTGAGCTATGTATTAAAAGTGATGTATGTCATTTAGCCCTGATCACTCTCAAAACTCTAGGCGTATACATTTAGCTGCATCCTTGACAACAACACTTCTAACTGTGTATGTCCCTCCTCTCTGACAACCTGTTGTTTTCTACTCTTCTCCATCTCAGAACTGGGCACCAATATTGTCTAATTACTCAGACCAATATCCTAACAGTCAGATTCGAGTGTGTTCTTTTCCTTGTCTCCTGCGTCCAATTTATTGTTAAGTCCTGTCAATTCAAATCTTTAAAATGTATCTTAAATCCAAGTACTTCTCTTCATCTTTATTACTTTCACCCTAATCCAGGTATCTGCTGCTTTTCATCCTTACAAGCCTCTCTGCCTCCAACCTTGGCTCCTTCGCCTCAAGGTGGTATGAATGATCTTTTGAAAACATTCAGCAGATCATATCCATTTCTTGCTTGAATGCCTGCCTATTTATCTTAAATTGAATCCCTGAGCCTCCAGCAAAGCCCCTGACTAACACTTCAATCTTGTTGTCCATAACTTGTTATCCTTGTTCATTTTCCTCTACCCATAACATCCATCTTTCTGTTTCTTGAATATTCTAAGATTTTTCTCAGCACAGGAAATTTTTCTTTGCTGTGGGATTTTTTTTTGTTTGTCTGTTTTTTTGTTTTGACTTGGAAAACTTTCCCCCTAAGCTTTTCACGGAGAAGACATTTTCAGTTCTCATAGGGCCTGTCACAATAATTCTATCTAAAATGATCCACCTTGTTTATGCTCTGTAAAATT